CCATCCAGAAACTTCACCCCCAATGACATCCCTCCATCCTCATCTAGACACCTCACCCTTTCCAGACATTCCTCTTCCTCATCTAGATACCTCAACCTCCATCAACATCCCTCCTTCCCCATCTGGACACCTCACCCCCCACCGACATCCCTCCTTTCCCATCTGGACACCCCACCCCCCACTGATATCCCTCCTTCCCCATCTGGACACCTCACCTCCCCCCACATCCCTCCTTCCCCATCTAGACATCTCCCCTACCCCACCGACATCCCTTCTTCCTCATCTCAACACCAAACCCCCTCCCTACTGAAATTCTCCCTTCCCCATCTGGCCACCTCCCCCAACCCACCCCACCGACATCCCTTCTTCCCCATGTGGACACCTCACCGCACCCCACCGACAACCCTTCTTCCCCATATGGCCACCTCACCCCCCACTGAAATCCCTCCTTCCCCATATGGACACCTCACCCACCACTGACATCCCTCCTTCCCCATCTAGACATCTTCCCTACCCCACCGACATCCCTTCTTCCTCATCTGGACACCTCACTGCACCCCACCGACATTACTTCTTCCCCATCTGGCCACCTCACCGAAATCCCTCCTTTCTCATTTGGACACCTCACCCACCACTGATATCTCTCCTCCTCATCCAGACACCTCACCCACCACTTACATCCCTCTTACGCAATCTAAACACTACACCCCCTACTGACATTTCTCCTTCCCCATCCAGCCAGTGGACACCTTACTCCCACTGACATCTCTTTTTCTCCATCTAGACACCACACTGTGCAATAGACATTTTCCATTCCCCAGTTTGCCTACACTGTTTAATTTTAGAATATTTGTAAAATCTCCATCTTGGCCTATTCTGGATAGAGACAGGACCCCTGAGCTTTTCTCTTCTAGTGGCAGACGGCAACATGTACATAATTTATTAATTTTGCCCATAGTTTAGGTTTAGTATTTCAATGATAGACTTCTTTTACCAAAACTAGAATTTTTAATGAACATCCCAACCCTAAACCATCTGTATGCAATCATTTTCAGTGAAAATTACTTAGTTACACAATTTTCCATAAGGTGCTTTTTTTCCCCCATACTATATTTTGTCTTCTTTTTTTTCTATCCCCCATTAAATCACATTAGCCATGTATCTCATCACACTGCGCAGTCTACCGCTAAAGAAAGGAAACATTATCTGCTTATAAAGAGCAACATGTGCCCTTGTTACTTAAGCATTGACCTGACAACACAAGGACCTTTAATTACGCGACCGTAGTATGCCGTACTCCGCCACCGGCTTGCGCCGTTCTAATAAAAGAAGCCCTAACCTACTTTACATATTATATTGTACCCATAGTAGCATTCATCAAGGCCTGCATCATTCTACCGTACATGAAAGCGATTTATCTGTGCAGAATTTTACTTTAATCTCTGTGTCTCGCGTCCACTTTGATCCTTGAAGAAAACTCTCCTTTCTCCTACTTTTTTTTTTTTTTTTTATGTCCATAATCTACTCCAACTTCTGTGAATATCAAGGTGTCAAAGTGACACCTATTATAGTAATGGGAAATCTGGTCTTTGTAGAGTTGGCGTAATCCTATATAATGATGCTCTTGGAATATAAAATGGAAAAAAAAAGAATAAAACAGCTTCACGTTGTTTTTTTTTTCTTTCTTCAGTGGATTTTTAGAATATTTGCATTTATCTCATAGGAACACAGAGGTTCTCTTTCCCACCCAGGTTTGTCACAGAGGGGTAATGGTCTCTTGTAAACCATTGGATTTATAGAATGTACAATAGCAGTGATAACCATCATTGTCCTGTTGGAGGATACATAGCTGCCACCTTTGAGTTCTTTCCTATAAGCCACCATGGCTGTCACCTTTGTGTTCTTTCCCATAAACCCATGGCTGCCACCTTTGAGTTCTTTCCCATTAGCTGCCATGGCTGCCCCCTTTGTGTTTTTTCCCATAAGTCACCATGGCTGCCACCTTTTGTGTTCATTTCCATAAGCCCATGGCTGTCCCCTTTGTGTTTTTTCCCATAAGCCACCATGGCTGCCACCTTTGCGTTCTTTCCAAAAGCCACTATGGATGTCACCTTTGCGTTTTTTCCCATAAGCTGCCATGGCTGCCACCTTTGCATTCTTTCCCATATGCCACCATGGCTATCACCTTTGTGTTCTTTCACAAAAGCCACCATGGCTGCCACCTTTGCATTCTTTCCTATAAGCCACTATGGCTGCCACCTTTGCGTTCTTTCCCATAAGCTGTCATGGCTATCACCTTTGCATTATTTCCTATAAGCCACTATGGCTGCCACCTTTGCGTTCTTTCCCATAAGCTGTCATGGCTATCACCTTTGCATTATTTCCTATAAGCCACTATGGCTGCCACCTTTGCGTTCTTTCCCATAAGCTGTCATGGCTATCACCTTTGCGTTCTTTCCCATAAGCCACCATGGCTGTCACATTTATGTTCTTTCCCATAAGCCACCATGACTGCCACCTCTGTGTTCTTTCCCATAAGCTGCCATGGCTGTCACATCTGTGTTCTTCCCCATAAGCCACCATGGCTTCCACCTTTGTGTTCTTTCCCATAAACCACCATGACTGCCACCTGTATGTTCTATCCAATACACAGCCATGGCTGTCACCTCTGTGTTCTTTCTCATAAGCTGCCATGGCTGTCACATCTGTGTTCTTTCCCAAATGCCACCATGGCTGCCACCTTTCAATTCTTTCCTATAAACCACAATGGCTGTCACCTTTGTGTTCTTTCCCATACTAGCTACCATGGTTGCCACCTCTGCATTCCTTCCCATAATCTACCATGGCTGCCATCTTTGTTTTTTTCCCATAATCTGCTCTATTCCAGTCTAAGCCACTCTATTATAATCCACTATTATGGATATTATTATTATAATTATTATTAACCCTATCCCACCCAGCTCCCTTTAATAGGGGCTGTACGCCTGGGAAGGATCAGCAACCATGTGACCACTGTAACTGGATTTCACGATGGTCACATGATCAGGAGCTGGTCCCACCAGCTGCCAATCTTTTCTGGGGAAAAAACAAAAAAGAAAGTCAGAGACATTCCAAACTGAAAATGTTCTCAAGAAAACGCAGACACAGCGAGCCATGGATTCTGATTTGAACGTGTATGGAAAGCTTAGTAGCCCGTATTCTCTCTGTGAACTCTGATTTTAGGTTACACCAACACCAGCACGTATTCTTTTTTTTTTTTGTTCCCCCGTTATTTTTATTACTGTTTAGTAAAAACTTGGCACTCGTAAAAAAGCACGTCCAGAGAACAATGCAGACGCTGAACTTGAAGAGGAATGAAAGAAGGAGTCTTGTATGCTGGAAAAAGCCAAGAACATTACCTCTCCTGGGCGAGGAGTGCAGCCAATCCTGAGAAAGAATGCATTAAATCATCGGCCGCTAAATCGGAGACGACAGTAAAAATATACCGCTCCATAAAATAAACACTGGTACCTGGACGCAGTCCCTGACTCGCAGCCAGCTGATATTTTATCTTTGCGGACTTTTTCTTTTTTTTTTTTTTCTTTTTGAGGTGCATGTATTATTAAGCAGATTTGTGTCTGCAATCGTTCTGATAGGAATGGCGGAGAGACTCCTGAAGCCGCATGTTGGACGTCTGTCAAGAGAATGTCACGGGAGCGGAGCGGGGAAGCAGGATCTGAACTGAACACAAACATCACACGCCTGGATGACTTTCCGTGTGCTTGTACTAACAAGCCTCAGACGCATATTCAGCGGGGTACCCGTGTACGCTGCTCCATATGCACACAATCTGAATACATTGGAATGCCTTTGTAGATTTATATGTCACAGTAATCCAAGGGCTCATCCGCACCAGCGGGCGCGCATTAAGGTGCGCATAACGCAAGCCGTTGGTGTGCGCTGTGCATTGCGTTATAAAGCACATCCTGATCCCTTTTTTGTTAACATTATTTAACTTGGCATTCATTTATTTCTATAGGGCCTATTCACAAAAGACGTTTTTGTGCAAATGTTTGCTTTCACCCTGATGCGCTTTTGCTGTGTTTTTTTTACTGTGCTAAAAACGCAATCCCTTTAAATCCTATGGGACTCTTTACACTGCATTGGGGGTGTGGTGCATTTTGAAATGTCCTGCATGCTGTATCTTTGATGCGGTTTTTCAAAGCCGCACCAAAAATGCAGGTCCCCCAATGCATCAAACATGGATTAAAAGTGAACCAGCATTGCGTTTTTGGTACGTTTTTTGAGTCACGCGCCCACGTTTCACAGGTGCATATTGGGTAACAGGCAGGGGCGGACTGACAGCTCATGGGGCCCCTAGGCAATAGGGGATCATGGGGCCCCTGTGTCCTTGCTCAAACTCAAAAAAGCCTATGATAAAGGTACCAGGGGCATCTCATGGGGCCCCCTACTGACCCCGGGCCCTCGGGCAGTGCCCGAGTTTCCAAATGGTCAGATTCCCCTGGGTGGGGGTTGTGGATTGTTTGGTGTTAAGTGGTTGCATCTCATTGTTCTGTTGTGTGTCTTGCTTGGGAGCAAACTATTATAGGACCGTCTGCTCTTTAGTGAGATGTCCCTGATATTGTGTAGACATGTGTGTGGGAGATAGGTGGGAGCAGGGGCGGACTGACAGCTCATGGGGCCCCCGGGCAATAGGGGATCATGGGGCCCCTGTGTCCTTGCCCAAACTCAAAAAAGCCTATGATAAAGGTACCAGGGGCATCTCATGGGGCCCCCTACTGACCCCGTGCCCTCGGGCAGTGCCCGAGATTCCAAATGGTCAGATTCCCCTGGGTGGGGGTTGTGGATTGTTTGGTGTTAAGTGGTTGCATCTCATTGTTCTGTTTTGTGTCTTGCTTGGGAGCAAACTATTATGGGACCGTCTGCTCTTTAGTGAGATATCCTGATATTGTGTAGACATGTGTGGGAGATAGGTGGGGGCAGGGGCGGACTGACAACTTATGGGCCCCCCGGGCAATAGGGGATCATGGGGCCCCTGTGTCCTTGCCCAAATTCAAAAAAGCCTATGAAAAAGGTACCAGGGGCATCTCATGGTGCCCCCTACTGACCCCAGGCCCTCGGGCAGTGCCCGAGTTTACAAATGGTCAGTCCGCCCCTGGTAACAGGCACCCAGAAAATGGACCGGCAATGCAGAAAAATGGGACAAAAATGCATATGAGTTTTTACCACATTTTTTCATTGGAGCAGTGTAAAAGCAGCATTTGCACAAAAAATCATGAAAAATCCCTGTACCAGGGGCGGACTGACCATTTGGAAACTCGGGCACTGCCCGAGGGCCCGGGGTCAGTAGGGGGCCCCATGAGATGCCCCTGGTACCTTTTTCATAGGCTTTTTTTGAGTTTGGACAAGGACACAGGGGCCCCATGATCCCCTATTGCCCGGGGGCCCCATGAGTTATCAGTCCGCCCCTGCCCTGTACTGTATTATGTGTGAAATGCCGGATTCTCACTGTTGCCTTTTTTTTTTCGCAAGGAAAATTTGCGATTTGGCATTAGAGACAGAATCACCGCAATTCCAAATTGCATGGCAGTTGCTGCTCAATGCATATTTAAGAGCCATTATCCTTTAATGGCACCCAAAATGCAATGCAAGTCTGCCGTGACTATCAGGATTGCATGGCAGTTTCGGCAAGCTGCACCTACAGTATAAAAGTTGTGTGAAGGTAAATAAACTTGACAAGCACTCATAGGGCAGCCCATTTGAGTGTAAAAGCGCACGTCATGGCCCCTATGCATGAAAACGTTGATTGCATTACACATATACTGTACATATCGAGTGAAAGTAATAATTTTAGCACAAGACCTCCTCAGTAAGGCTAGGTTCATATCTGTGCGGGTGGTACCCAGGGGCAGACTGACAACTCATGGGGCCCCCGGGCAATAGGGGATCATGGGGCCCCTGTGTCCTCACCCACACTCAAATCACACCCAAAAAAGCCTATGAAAGGTACCAGAGACATCTCATGGAGCCCCCTTCTAACCCTGCACTCTCGGGCAGTGCCCAAGTTCCCAAATGGTCAGTCCGTCCCTGGTGGTGCCACTGCAGATCCACACAAAAATCTGTGCAGCCGCACCACCCGCACAGAGAAATGAGGACCTGCGGGCAGGTCCCATTAGTTCTAATGGCACGCCGCCCGCACTGGAAAACGCAACTGTACTGGGAACCGAGGTTCCCGTGCGGGCTGCATTTTTGGAAGAAGTGCAGGGACTTCTTACCTGCGTGTCACAAGGCACAGGAGTCCATTCAAATGAATGGGCTCTCATGCCTGCTCAAAACACGGCACACAAGGCCGCATATATGTGAACCGGGGCTGACACTAAACTGAAGACCTATAGGGGCTTTTGAAGCGTCGCCTATAGAAAATATAGGGTACTGAAGTTTGGCGCACACAAATTTAATATTTGGCATGCTGGATATCTATTTACTTGGTGCTACCTCGTCTTTTATATTTTAACAAAAATGTGGGTAATTTATTGTGTTGGTTTGCCCTAAAATTCACTTCAGTGTGTTTTTTTTACTGACATTTTTTAGACCTTTGTGGTAATATCGTTAAAAATTGGAACTACCACTATTTTATTCTCTAGGGTCTCTGCTTTCAGGAAATATATCATGTTTTTGGGGTTTTGTGTAATCTTCAAGCCTAAAATTATTTTTTAAATGTGTGCGCAAAAAAATGAAAAAACAAAACGGCTCTGGCAGCGGAAGAGTTAGGCTACGTTCACACTAGCGCTGTGTGCAGGCGGCAGAGAGGCATTTGGGAAGCGTTTTTACCGCTTCCCAAACGCCTCTGCCAATTCTGCACATTACAGCACATGGTGCTGTTCCAACGGGAGCTTTTGCGTCGCGTCACGTTGCGTCACGGCAAAACGGACGCCTCTGGACGAGTCAGGAGGCGTTGAAGCCTCCTATTCTCGTCTATGGTGCCGCTCCGCAAATGCCCAGCCGGTGTTTGCGGTGCGGTTGCGGGGCGTTTGCGAGCGGTAACACCACTCAAACTGCATTATAGGCGTTTGTGGGGCGTTATTAACGCTCGGCAAATGCCTAGCAACCGCCACTAAACCGCGCATGCGGCGTTTGCCGAGCGTTAAAAAACGCCGCCGCTCCGCAAACGCCGGACCAACGCTTGCCAAACGCTATAGGGGCCGTTTGGCAAGCGTTGGCAAAAAAGCCTAGTGTGAACGAGCCCTTAAGGCAAGACAACCTGCAAGCTATGATACTTGATAATGATAATTAGGAGTCTATTAAGGACAAATGAATGAAACAGAGGCCAGCCAATGGGGAGAAATGGGGGCAGGGAAACCTTATTTCCAGGTTGCTCTTTGAAGACCATTTTCCTGTGAGAAGGTTGATCTTGTTATGAGTATTAGCCAGTCTCCGATCATCCAATGACCCAAGGTCCCCTGACTGAACTGCACATGTGTGTTTGAATTTCCTTCCCAAGCCTTCTGTAACATGGAAAATACATAAGGTCGTGCACAGACGATATTTCATATTTAATGGTGCCGCATCAATGTCACCTCCTCCCACGTGCGCCTCTTCATTTGATGGACGTCTGATTTTAATGTTTTATATAACATGATTTGATGCTGCCAGACCCGGGAACGAGACAGAATATATTAATTCACTTCTGCGGGTCTGAGGTTGTTAAGAAATAATTTAGCTGCCAATCCCGGCCACGGAGGCTTACAGGCACCTGTCTGCGAAGGACGTAAACACGCTAATCCAATCATCTCAAGACGTTGGCTCGCCGTAGAGGATGGGGACGGAGTCATTCTACGAGGGTGTCAATCTGCCAAACATGATCAATCACGGTGGCTCTGTGATCACCGGTAATCTGGGGGCCATACACTTGTTACTGGAGTGGGCTTATGGCGACATTTATCGCCATCTGAAATAACATAAAAGGGATTAACCAGACAGCTGCTCAGGTTCCAAAAGCTCATTTCCTGAATGTGAAGCGCTTACTGTTAGATCTAAAAAAAAAAAAAGGAAAAAAAATTACTAATATGAATGATTATATTTTACTGGGATAATGTATAGACTCTTTACAATTTGGGAAATGCATTGTAATCTGGGGAAACCACAAAAAAGGCATGCAATTTATCCAACCACATTGACACTTATGGCATGTTAGGGGTGTGTCTGACCAGAGAAGGGTGTGTCTGACCAGAGAGGAGTGTATATTACTCCAGAGGTTGTGTCTGCCCATAGAGGGGTGTGTCTGATCAGACAGAGGTGTGTCTGACCAAAGAGGGGTGTGTCTGACCAGAGAGGGGGGTGTCTGACCAGACAGAGGTGTGTCTGACCAGAGAGGGGTGTGTCTGACTAGAGAGGGGGGGGTGTCTGACCAGAGAGGGGTATATATTACTAGAGAGGTTGTGTCTGACCAGAGAGGAGTGTGTCTGACCAGACAGAGGTGTGTCTGACCAAAAAGGGGTGTATAATACTAGAGAGAGTTGTGTCTGACCAGAAAGGGGTGGTGTATTACTAGAGAGGGGTGTGTCTGACTAAAGAGAGGTGTGTCTGACCAGAGAGGGGTATGTATGACTAGAGAGGGGGGTGTATGACTAGAGAGGGGGGTGTATGACTAGAGAGGGGTGTGTATGACTAGAGAGGGGGGTGTCTGACCAGAGAGGGGTATATATTACTAGAGAGGTTGTGTCTGACCAGAGAGGAGTGTGTCTGACCAGACAGAGGTGTGTCTGACCAAAAAGGGGTGTATAATACTAGAGAGAGTTGTGTCTGACCAGAAAGGGGTGGTGTATTACTAGAGAGGGGTGTGTGTCTGACTAAAGAGAGGTGTGTCTGACCAGAGAGGGGGGTGTATGACCAGAGAGGGGTGTGTATGACTAGAGAGGGATGTGTCTGACCAGAGTGGGGTGTGTCTGACCAGAGAGGGGTGTGTATGACCAGAGAGGGATGTGTCTGACCAGGGTGGGGTGTGTATGACGAGAGAGGGGTGTGTATGACTAGAGAGGGTGTGTCTGACCAGAGAGGGGTGTGTATGACTAGAGAGGGGTGTGTATGACTAGAGAGGGGTGTGTCTGACCAGAGAGGGGTGTGTATGTATGACTAGAGAGGGGTGTGTATGACTAGAGAGAGGGTGTGTCTGACCAGAGAGGGGTGTGTATGATGAGAGAGGGTTGTGTATGATGAGAGAAGGGTGTGTATGACTAGAGAGGGGTGTGTCTGACCAGAGAGGGGTGTGTATGACTAGAGAGGGGTGTGTATGACTAGAAAAGGGTGTGCCTGACCAGAGAGGGGTGTTTATGACTAGAGAGGGGTGTGTCTGACCAGAGAATGGTGTGTCTGACCAGAGAGAGACATGTCTGACAAAGAGGGGTGTGTCTGACCAAAAAGGGATGTGCCTGACCAGAGAGGTGTGTGTTATGACTAGAGAGGGGTGTGTCTGACCAGAGAGGGGTGTGTCTGACCAGAGAGAGACATGTCTGACAAAGAGGGGTGTGTCTGACCAGATAGGGGTGTGTTTTGCCAGAGATTGGTGTCTTCCCAGGGAGGGGTTGTATCTAAACAGAGAGGTGTGAGTGACCAGAGTGGGGGTGTGACTAACAAGAAGGGGTGCAACTTACCAAAGAGGGGTGCAACTGACCAGAGAGTGGTGTGACTGACCAGAGAAGGGTGTGTCTGACCAGAGAGGGGTGTGCCTGACCAAAAAAAGGTGTGACTGACCAGAGAAGGGTGCGTCTGACTGGAGAGATGTGTGTCTGACCATAAAGGGGTGTATCTGACCAGAGAGGGCTGTCTCTTTCCATATATGGGATTTTCTGACCCAAGAGAGGTTTATCTTGCCAGAGAGGGGTGTGTTTGACCAGAGATGGGGTGGGGAGATCTGCCCAGAGAGTGTTGTGAATGACTAGAGAGGGTTGTGTATCTGTCCAGAGTGAGGTGTGAATGAACAAAGAGGTGTGTGTCGGACCAAAGAGGGGTGTGTATCTGCCCAGAGAGGGGTGTGCCTGACCAGAGAGGGGTGTGTCTGACCTAAGAGAGGGGTGTGTCTGACCTAAGAGAGGTGTGTTTGACTAGAGAGGGGGGTGTATTGCCAAAGATGGGTGTGTCTGACCTGGGAAGGGGTGTATCTGACCACAGAGAGGTGTGACTGACCAAAAAGGGGTGTGTATGATCACAAAGGGGTGTGTATGACTGGAGATGGGTGTGTCTGACCATGTAGGGGGTATATCTGCCCAGAGAGGGTGTGTCTGACTAGAGAGGGGTGTTACGGACCAGAGAGAGGTGTGCCTGACCAGAGAGAGGTGTGACTGACCAAAAAAAGGGGTGTGTATGATCAGAAAGGGGTGTATCTGACTAGAGATGGGTGTGTCTGACCTTGGAGGGGGTATATTTGTCCAGAAAGAGGTGTAATTTACCAAAGAGGGGTGTGACTGAGAAAAACGTTGTACACAATGTACATAATTACATTCTATATACAATAGAAACAAGCTATATATAAAACAATATTTTATAAAACACTAACACACACTTTAAGATTATTCACATCAAGTTAATCTATATTACCTTAAGCTGTTCAACCCCACACTTGTTATTTTGGATTTGTATAGAGTGGGAAATGGTCGGGATTTGGACTGGGCAGGGGCGGACTGACCATTCGAGCACTCGGGCACTGCTTGAGGGCCCAGGGTCAGTATGGGGCCCCATGAGATGCCCCTGGTACCTTTCATTGGCTTTTTCATAGGCTTTTTTGGGTATGGGCAAGGACACGGGGGCCCCATGATCCCCTATTGCCCGGGGGCTCCATGAGTTGTCAGTCCTCCCCTGGGACTGGGTTAACATTTTGGAGAAGTGTTACATAGGATGTATTTATAATAAAATGTGTAGAGGTATTTGTCCTGTGATACTGCATGTACATTTGCTCTGTGTGAACGAGGACAAAATCTTATTAGACGATTTTTCTCTCCAGGTTAAATGTGTGTGAATCATGAAATACAACATTATGGCCACTGGATGGAGCTATTGATCACAGTAAATATTTATTTATTGATGTATTTATTTG